CCCTCCCAACCCCTCTCTCCCTGCTGCCCTGCCTAGCTCGCTGGCTTTCTCTCTTGCTTCTCTCTTTTCCTCCCCACCCCCTTTGGTTTGACAATTTTGTCTTAAGTGTTTCTCAAAAGAGATTACTTTAGTTAGCATGCGCGCTGTGGGCAATTGTTAAAAGTGTTCTTAGGTTTACTGTGAAGAGAATGTATCCTGTATCCGTGAATTGCTTTATGGGGGGGAGGGAGGGCTAATTATATATTTTGTTGTTCCTCTATACTTTGTTCTGTTGTCTGCGCCTGAAAAGGGCGGAAGAGTTACAATAAAGTTTACAAGCGAGAATCTGAGACCCGCCCGGCCCGCGCTCCTCATTTGCTCCCAGGCGCCTCGCAGTGCTGGGGGTTGCGGGTCAGCAGGCTTCTGGGCCCGCTGAGGCTTGGCGCAGAGAGGAGGGGGCGGGGGCTGGAGGCAGGTGGTGCGAGTCCCTCGGCCCAGGGGCGCAGGGGGCGAGGGAGGCGGCTGCATGTGATTGGAGGAGAGAGGGACGAGGGAGGGAGCCCAGAGAAACCCCCTCCCCTCGCGTTCCGAGGTTGCCGGCCCCAGAGACCCCAGCGCCCAGGCCGCGCTGAAGAAGAGATGCGCCCAGTTGGTGACTGTATCCCCTGCCACTTCTCTCTTTGTTTCAGTGTGTGTCCTCCCGTGGGAGGGGGGCGGATAAAGATGAAAGTGCAGGGCTGCTGAGCACGCTTATATTTTTATTTTTCTCAGACTTTGGTGGAGGGCGGGAGCCGGAGGGGAGGTGAGATCCTCCTCCCCACCTCTGGCTCTCTGAGATGTGACCTTCTTTGCCCAGTTCCGAGGCGGTGGCTCGCCGCCTTCCTTCCTTCTCTGCCTCTGCTTCTTCTGGCAGCCACGCTCGGCTGAAGCATCCGCCTCCCGGAACCGAGAAAGCAGAGAGCACGAGCCCCAGGCCTCCTTCCTCCCTTCCTTTCTCTCCTTACCCCACCCCCACCCCGTTCCTTTTTTTTTTTTTCTTCAAACTTTCCAATCCGTTTTATTTAGCCATTAGAAAGCACAGTGTCCGCCCGCCCGTGGGCTGGATCCCTTGCCTTAGAGCACCTACGAAGCCTTGTTCCATCTCCGACAGTATATGTGGGCCACCGAGAGAGAGAGAGAGAGAGCCGTGAGGCCATGCTCACCTCGTTCTTCACCTTGGGAGAATCGGACCAACTTCTCCTAAAGGCTTAGCGGAGATGAATTAGCTCGAATTAATAAAGACCTGATGTGCCCTTACCCACCCACCAAGTTGCGCGCATTCAATCTCTGCGTTTGTCTTTCGCTCGGTAACAGACCGGGGGAAACGGGTGGGGGGTGACAACACGGATTGCTCAGAGGTTATTTATTTTCCCTTGAACTCAATTCCTTCCTCCCCAAATCTCGCCTGCAAGCTGCCTCCAGCCCGCGGGGGTCGACAGCGGCCCTTGAGCCCCCAACGCCAATCCACAGAGTTCGGCTTTCCCATTCATTATTGATCATATTTTATAAATCTAACGCCACACAATTTTTTCCACATTACCGGGAGCCGTGGGGAGGCCGTCAGGCCATTGGCAGAGGGGATGTCACGTGGATGTGAGTCACGTGGTCTGGAGAGGAAAAAGGGGGTCCTTTTTGGTGTAAATCTGGACTCTAATTCTGTAATATATCAAGGAATCTCGTAAAACCGACACTAAAACGTCCCTGCCTACAAATCATCCGGCCAAATTATGAGTTCATTGTATTATGCGAATGCTTTATTTTCTAAATATCCAGCGGCAAGTTCGGTTTTCGCTGCCGGAGCCTTCCCCGAACAAACTTCTTGTGCGTTTGCTTCCAACCCCCAGCGCCCGGGCTATGGAGCGGGTTCGGGCACTTCCTTCGCCGCGTCGATGCAGGGCTTGTACCCCGGCGGGGGGGGCATGGCGGGCCAGAGCGCGGCCGGCGTCTACGCGGCCGGCTACGGGCTCGAGCCGAGTTCCTTCAACATGCACTGCGCGCCTTTTGAGCAGAACCTCTCCGGGGTGTGTCCCGGCGACTCCGCCAAAGCGGCAGGCGCCAAGGAGCAGAGGGACTCGGACTTGGCGGCCGAGAGTAACTTCCGGATCTACCCCTGGATGCGAAGCTCAGGTAACGCAGCGCACCGAGCCATCCCTAGTGGCAGCGGCCCGGGCACATTCCCCTGAAGGTGCCCCATTCCGGGCCAGGCGCCCCTTTCCGCGTCCAGAGTGCTCCGCGCGCCCGGGATCGGCCCTGGAAAAGCGGCACCCCGCTTGGCTGCGACCTGGCGCGCTGCCCCCACCCTCATTTTTCCTCGGTGCTTTCAGGCTTGCTCTGCTTCCCCGCGGATCTCTCTTCGCCGACGCCGCGGCGCGCAGAGCCCCCAGCCCGCCCCCTACCCTTCCTTCAGGCCTTTTAGCTTTAAATATTTATCAGCAGCGCCGGCACGGGTTGGAGACGAGGCCGTTTGTCTTGAGAAGGAAGGCTGGGGTTTGCAGAGAATAGCCATTAGGGTCTTCCCCCTCTCCCCCCCCCTTCTCCGCCTGGGATCTCAGCTCTGGGTGTGTCCCCCATCCCCATCCCAGCTTGGATAAGGTATGGGGGAGGGGGCCATAGCGTTAAGCAGTTCTCCCCTCCCCCTTCCTTCCCAGCCAACCCCGTTCCCCTATTATTCCCATTAGAACAATTAGAGGTGGGCTCTAGAGGCCTGGTGGGAGGAGTGGGTAGGAGACTTGAGGACCCCAGCCAGGGACACAGAGCCAGAGATGCGGGGGGGGGGGCAGAAATCAAGAGAGATGAGGCTCCTAATCCTCCAGTGAACTTGGGGGGGGCAGGAAAACTAAAGAAAAGACAGAGCCTTCATGGAAATATAGCTAGCTGTCCCAGGTTCCTTCCTGGGGCTCCTAGGCACCTAGAGAATTGGTCAACAAGTTTGGAGGTGTCATTAGAAGGGTGAGTCTCCTCTTGGGGGAGGGGCTTGGACTCCAAGGAGCCAAATCAAGCCTCAGTACAGAGCCACCTAATAGCTACTTCAGGAGCCCCAAACCCCCTTTGGTTTGACAATTTTGTCTTAAGTGTTTCTCAAAAGAGATTACTTTAGTTAGCATGCGCGCTGTGGGCAATTGTTAAAAGTGTTCTT